ATATTATTTATTTTTCACAAAACTGGAAAATAAACTGAGATGTTGTAAATAATAGTTAATCGTAATTTTGAAAAAAATACTTCAATGATATCAACTAGGGCTGTTTCTCAGGTAATATGTACAGACAAACACTATTTAGACGGTTTTTCCTGGGATACGGACACAGATCGTTAGGCGATTATTAATTTTAATTTCACGAGAAACCATTAAGTAGAAAAGTTAATGATCAAACTTCAATCCAATACTTTTTAATTACTGTAAACTATTCAAGGGCAGGGAATCTCAAAATTGATTACGTCCGAGATGCCGTTTTGCGAGAGTGAAAATGCAAGACCTCCAATTTGTAAAATAACTTGACATAAGCAGAGAATAAATATCATTCTAAAAGAAAATTATGGTAAAATTAATTCTACACATCTATTTTATTTCAAGCTATTCAATAACGTAAAAACTCTAAATTAGGAAATCTGTAGAATGTTAAATAGAAGGAGCATTCCCTGATCCACAATCAGACAAGAAAGAGGTTATACCCTAGGGATCAAGACAATAGCTACATGGATGGATGATATGCTTTTCGGCTTCGTCGAAATATTTTACTTTTTTTTTGTCTGAATCATCATTTTAATCATTGCATTTTTGTCCTTATAGTAAAGTTTCTCTTGCCAAAGTTTTCAGTGGAATACAATGAGATCATCTCTACATTATAACATATATATATTTAGGTCTAAATAAACGAGCTTTGAGCTCTGATAACGATGCTCTTACTAGATGAGCTCTACTATATTGTTCCATTAAATGTTTGAGATATTCTTGCCATTACTCATTACGTAGAATATTGTTTTACACGAACGAATTGTTGATATTAACATATACATGTTCAAGCGCTGTTTTATTTACAATGATTTACCACTTTATATATTTGCATATACAAATTATATAAATAATGTGTGAGGTCATTGCTGCAGCTCTTTAAATGTAAAGACATCTTATCATGGTTAGGTCGAAACGTAATGGGTATGGGCAAGGGCCTCTCCAATTTTTAAAGGGACAGACATTATGGAAGTGCTCGTTTAACAAGAGCGTCGTTATCAAAGTTCGAAACTTATTTCTTTGATTGTCTTTTCAAAGGCAGCTGTTATCAAAGTCTATCAAAATAGCGTTTGAGAGAAAATATCATTTCAACTAGGAAAACCTTAGGCCACCAACTGCTAAAAATACACCGATGGAAGATATGATTGAATAAGCTTGTAACTTGAAAGAGACATCAGACCTTGTTACAACTGATTCACTTCAATAATGATCAGAATTTGATTATCTCAAATCATGCACAAAACTCCTTAGCAGCCAACAACTAGTCTAAAAACTGCTAATCTTAGCTGGAAGCTGGAAAACTGTACTTGCATGGTTCTTAGTGTGTAAACTGTGGACAGTGAGTTATTGGAAAGGTATGATGTGGGTTATGAGTCAGTTTCAGCCTTTTACTGGAGCGAAAATATGGAAAAGCACGTGAGGTACTTGACCGTGATTTTGTTAGGTTCAACAATATAAGCTGATGGAGGTGTTATAACGGTATTGGGAGCATTCCATAGCAGAGGATGGTTTTTTGATTCCTTCAGAAAGGCAATTAACATCAAGAATGCATCAGTAATGTTCACCTCAAAGTGACTAGATAAACAAGAGCTGCTCCAAGACAGTTATGATACAGTTCCATATAAAACCAACCATTCCAGTTATAAATTTAGTTAATAATATTATGTATTGAAGTTAAACTTTTCGTTTAATGTTTGTTTAATTTTTCTCGTTTTAAAATGAATTTTTTTTTCAAAAATTAATTGTTATTAGGTGTTAAGAAAATTCTAAGCTATTAAGCATTTATGAAACCGGTTAAAGAAAAATAAGTTTTTTTAGTAGAAGGTGATTGTACACGTAATTACTTTTGCAGGGTTTCTAATCGTACTTACAGTAGATAAAAGTCGTAAGGTTTTAAGAACTAAATTCGAAGTTAAGCTTATTCGTGTAGAGGACAACTAATTCAATGATTGACTTGCTATGTGAGACATTAACTACCACAGTCCTGAGTTTTCACCTGGGCGATTAAAATCATATTATCATCATAGCAGGTAAAATTCTTTAAGTATCCATCTTGTTGTAAAATACTTAATTTAGGCTTAGTTTAAAGATTAATGGATAGTTGTGATTAAAAATATGGTTTTGAAATATATATCATTACAGTACAAAGTATGTACACAATATTTTAAATTCAATTTGATTTTAGAAAATTTTGTGACAATATACGATATAGATTACTTTTGACTAATTTAAAAAAAACTCATTTCTAAAAGGCTATTTAGTTGTAGCAATGTCAAAAGAAAAATTGTAATTAAAAATAAAGGTAAAAGAATTTAATAATAAAATAAATAATTTAAAAATAAATCTCATTATAAATAAAATGTCTATGTTGCATTTTAATATCTAGTTTATACTGTTGTTTTTCTAAAACAAACACCGCTGTAAGAATAAACAAGACAACATTAATTCTTCTTTTAATTTGAAGACGTCGTAAGATTTTATCTACCACAAGCAACAGTTTGTTTGTTTTGAATTTCGCGCAAAGCTACACGAGGGCTATCTGCGTTAGCCGTCCCGAATTTAGCAGTGTAA